TATATACATATATATATATATTTATACATATATATATATATTATAGACTCGCAGAATTATTATGTATCCGATTTTCCCTTAGTTTATACGTGACTGCAGAACTCGGAAATATTGATGAATCGTTTGTGCAATTTCCTTCCTATGTAGAAATCACATACCTGTACTTGACCCGGAGTCCTGCTGAGAGAAGAATACAAATCGAATCCCAGCTGCCAGAGGCGAGGTTGGCAATATATTCGTAAGTAACCCATACGCGCACAGTAGAAGGAAGTTCGCGAATAGAACAACGAGATTGGTTCGGATATCGTTGTTTTCTGAAATGAAGTACACAGATATCATGACCAGATATATGCGGCAAAAAGGCGGTGTCGTAACCAGTATGGCGGAGTAGGTATGTCCATTTCCGACCGAGCCACAGACAAGTTATTGGGCATTACGTTGATACACACGTCATGAGATTGAGCCATTTTATATGGTCATGCCTCATCGTCCCGTTATGTGACTCAGATTAGACATACCGGTATCCAGGTGGGAGACCACCTTGACAACGGTTTCACGAGCCTGGCGTTGCACGGCAACCATGCCTGTGAAGGTTTGATGCTCAATCATCTGGCGGCACTTATATCGGATCTCTTTCTGCGACGCCTGAGCAGTGTGTTTATAGTTTATATTCACTTTGCACAAATTTTACGTGGAATCTTATGCACGGCATGGAGTTTAGATCCCAAACCAGCGGATTTTTAAGTATGATATAAGTATATATATACGCGTAATCGGAATACAATGTATATACATAGCTATAACTCCTTACTCTGAGAGCCATAAAACCCACATTCAGAATACGACGTTCGGCAACGTAACACACACTATGTATACTGTCCCATGAGATCACTTGGTGTCTTATTTGTCTCTATATTTGAAAGATTGTTGTTCAGAGAAAGTGTTCTTTGTATGCCTTTAGTCGTATCGGTCGTGCACTCTTGAGCTTCGTGCACCTCACACCATGTTAAGTGTCTTTTGAAGGATATGTGGCATGATCACTAGTGTACTATATGTAATATACTACATGTAGAGTACTATATGTAGTGTTCTATATGTAGTATACTATATGTAGTATACTATATGTTCTATACTATATGTAGAGCACTATATGTAGTATACTATATGTAGTATACTATATGTAACTACAATATATAGTATACCATATGTAGCTACTATTTGTAGTAAAATATCTGACGACATTTGTCAGGTAGATACATTGTACTACACACAACGTCCTGTGATGGGAATGATACACTATGTGCAGCGTCTCCCAATGTGCGCTGTGTATGCCATACAGTACACTCTCGGTAACGTCTTCTGCTGAGACTGTGACTTGTGTCATTTACAGGTTTCATACATATATTGTGTCTTAATCCGAATTGTGTAGTATATGCCTTTGCCATACCTGCCCGTTCCTTAAACGTCCGTGCGACAGTTTCTTAGGGTTTGCTGAGTACGCAATGGCCACCGGGTTGTTGTGGTTGAACCAGTCGTGGGATCGATGTATGGGGCGGTAGCTATATATGGAGAACCAATCCGAAATAGTGAATGTATAACTACTAACCAATCAGAAGCAAGCTTTGGAAACATACCTGACAGCTGATACGATAAAAATAGCGGAGTCAAAAGCAGGCACCCAGTGTATGCACACTACAACAGCTACAGTCTAAGGTACCTAAACGCAATGACCAACATGCGCGTAGACATTGTCTGGTAGAACTCAAGTATCCTTCGACGGTCCGCATCTGTCAGTTTGATCACATTGTTGCCATCGAAGTAATCGGTGCAAGTCTGTGGGAAAATATAGGGTGGGAAGAAGGGCACTATATAGTCAGTTTTTTATATTGACATTGGTATACATATATTCGGGGAATGCAGAACGAAGGGAAGGCGGTACCTATATAGTCTTTCATAGTGACATCGGCATGTGTCTATGGGGAATGTGGGATGAAGGTTAGGTCAGTATATATTTAGTATTTCATAGTGACATCGGTATGTGTCTACGGGGAATGTGGGCTGAAGGTTAGGTCAGTATATATTTAGTATGT